TGACTATGATCTGGATAGGCAGATGAGCAGTAGTAGAGGGATTCCAGGCAAAAGAATAGTGGGAGCAGAGGCTTAGACATGGGAATGAGTGAGGGGTTTTGGAGGTTAGCGGACAGACTGGAGAGGTTGCCTCCCCCAGGTCACCAGTAGCCACCTTCATGGCCTGTGGCGGCCACCCACCCATTCCCACCCTGCCAGGACCCAGTTTCTCCATGGGCGAGTCTAAGGGGAAGTGGGTAGAGATCTGGTAGGAAGGGGACCTCTAGGTTCCTTGCTAAGCCAGCAGAAAAGGAGGGTTATCCTGGGCCACTCTGGCCTTTCAGAGGACTGACCATGGGCACCCAACTGGATGGTACAGGAGCACAACTAGGGCCCAAGGAAATCAGGCTGCAGGCAAAAGCACTCTCCAGGCAGAACACTCCCTCGGTTCTTTGTCTGACCTCTGAAGGCCTTCTGAAGGGGGTGAGGGTCAGGATCCCCCAGTGCAATTCTGGGTCTTTAAGGTGTAACTTCAAATAAGTTTTCCAACAAATTCCCCCAGGCATTGCCCCACCCTCACCTGGATACTGACAGCGCAGCCCCGGGAGGCACGGAAACTTGACCCACTCTCGTCCCAAAGCCCTTGGGCTCTTCCTCCAGAAGGAGGAGAGAGGGGTGTGGCCTTTGGGGGCCTGGGTGGTGCTACAGTTCCTAGCCTGGGGATCTCAGGATTTGCCCCTCCTGTTTCCGGCCCCTCCTTCACCCCGGGGACTGCTAGCCTCCCTCCACACTGCCTCTTCTGGGACTCCCTCACAATCCCACACTTAGCCCAGCTTTCTTTGGGGTCTTGAGGCTGGCCCTACCATGCCCAGCAGCCCCAGCACCTCTGGGTCCCCTACCCACCTCATGTCCCATTCTAAAGCCATGAGGCTCTGCTTGCCTCATTCCCTCGGCCCATGCACCCAAGCACCCACCCCAGCCCCTCGCCTTCCCTCACATTTTCTCTTCCTGTTCTCAGGAGTCGAATCCACCCCTCTTTTCCGAAATACTTCCCCTCTTGCCCTCTTTCTCACATAGAGACAAACAAAGACTCCCATACCCAGAAATAGACTCACACGGAGCTGGAAGACACAGGCCATGTCCTGCCACACACGCACCCGCAAGCGGGCGCACGCACTAGAGGCTCTCGTGGAGGGAGGCACACAGAGAAGGCATTTGTCTGTGCACGCACATAAACATCCACACCCACAGCCACCGAGCCGTGCCCACACCAGGGTGCAGACACACACAGCGGGCGAGACAAGGGTGCACACATCTGTGGACGCGAGGGGACACCGCCTCCCCGGGCACACCCACCACTGACGGCCTGGTGCAGGAGGAAGGCCTCCTCCGGGCTCCGGCTCCCCCCCGGATTCCTTCCAGCGAATGTTTCCCTACTTGGCCTGCCAGGTCTCTGGGGAAAGGGCCTCAGAAATGCAGCAGGAGCCGCTTGGGGGACAGTTGGAACTGACTGTTCCCTGCCTGGCCCTGCCGGCGAATTCCCTAACCGAGAAACTATTTGTGGCGAGGGCCCGGGTGGCCGGCGAGCCCCCCGCCACCTCCCCTCGCGTCCCCTCCCCGCGCCGCCTCCCCGCGGCCCTCGGGCGGCCTCCGGCTGCAGTGCCGCTGCCCAGCGCCCAGGAGCCGGGCTTGCCGGCGTGCCTCGCCGCTTATCTGCGCTGTTTGGACAGCGAGGGCTGGAAAGGCAGGCGTTTCTGTCCCCGCCGAGTCAACAGGCAGACCCCGGGCCGCCGGACTATTTCTGTCTTATCAGTGCAGGAATGCGGCAGCCGCGGCGGCGGCGGCGGCGGCGGCGGCGGCGGCGGCGGGCGGGCGGCGGCGGCGTGGGCCGTGGGCCGTCAGGGCAGCCCTGAAGGGGCCCCCTCCCCACTCCGCTCGAGTAGAAGTGTGAGAGAGCCCAGCAGGACTCAGAGGGGAGAGTTGGAGGAAAAAAAAAGGCAGAAAAGGGAAAGAAAGAGGAAGAGAGAGAGAGAGTGAGAGGAGCCGCTGAGCCCACCCCGATGGCCGCGGACGAAGTTGCCGGAGGGGCGCGCAAAGCCACGAAAAGCAAACTTTTTGAGTTTCTGGTCCATGGGGTGGTGAGTGGGGGAAAGTTAGCGGGGGAGGGTGAGCGAGCTGGCTCGGGCTGAATGGAGGGATGATCGGGAGGGGCCGGGAGGGGGCTCCCGCTCTCCCACCCCTCTGGCAGGGGCGCCACGGCCCCGCGGCCCAGCCCCAGGACTGTGCCGGCGCCCTGGCACTCGAACACGTCGTCAGGCGGCGGGCCGGGGATCGGTGCCCGGGCGGGGACGGGAGGCGTTTGCGTGGGTTCTTGTCAGGGGCTGGGGGTGGGACTTGGGGACTGTCCCCCCCAAGAGTGTGGAGGGGGTCCCCTCTGTACCAGACGTGTTGTCTTCTGTTCTCTTCCTCGCGGGCCCAGGTGTTCCCCTGCCCTGCGGGTGGGGGTGGGGGACACGGCACTGGGTGGGCTGGTTGTCTGCTCATCCGTTGGGACAGTGTCTCTCTGATTGTGTCTCCGGGAGCAAGGAGCAGGTGACCCTGGAGGCACTGGGAGCGGGAAGCTCTCTGGCTGAACAACCTCTGCATCCTGGCAGGAGGGCTCTGGGGCTTTGCTGATGGCCTCTGCCATCAGGGTCAGAGAGAGAGAGACCCTCTCTAGGGACAGACCCCAAGTTAAGGGGTCTGAAGATCCCCTTGGCAGACTCAGCCCACCAGAAGCTGATGTCCTTAAATCCTCAAAGGTGTGAAGGAAGGGCTGCAGTCAGGGATGTGCGGCCTAGAGGCCAAAGGGGCAGGGCGGCACCTTCCCGCCAGGAGCAGACTTGGAAGGCACACAGGGAGCCTAAGGGAGCCCAGGGTGCCCTGAGGGGATGGGACCTCAGGCTGAGACAGCAGAAGCCAGGCTGGGAGAAGCGTGGAGGGCAGCAGAATGGGAGAGGCAGGGGCTGTAGGACTTGCAATGGCTACGGGGGTTGGAGCTGGGTGCAGAGGAGGCAGTCAAGTTGACTATGGCCAAATTTGGTTGTGACCCCAAAGAAGGCACGTTCTCAGTGAGGGAGGCCAGAGTCCCTAGAATCTTGGCCCTTCGTTGGGGTGGTCCCAGTAGCTGGCACAGCCCTCTGGGGGCTCTGGAATCTTCTCTCTCGGGGCCTCTTCAGCAGATCAGCAAGTATCGCTGGCCTTGAAAAATGGGAGAGCAGCTGATTGGGTAAAGGGGCTTCCTGGGCAGCCTGTTCTCCAGTCCCAGAGATCTCTGAGGCAACTTCCCAGGGGTGCCCGTGTCAGTCAGCCAAGTTGCCAGTCCTAACCACGCTGTTTGGTGAAGTCCCTTTACAAAGGCCCATCTAGGGGAGAGAGGGGGCTATACATGTGGGGTTTTTTGTTTTTGTTTTTTTTAATCTAGACAACTTAGAGCTTCGGTTCTTGGGTGGCTGTGAGTCCCACCGCTTCACTCCCAGTACCCTATCTGTACTGGTGGGGCTGGGCCTAGGCTCCATTCTGGGCCACCACTCTGGAGATATGAGTGACAGGCTCAGGTGGGGTGGGGGAGGCAGACACATGGACAGGCAGTTTTCACTGTGGGAGAGATGGACAGAGACAGCTGGCTGGGAGTTAGGGTGAGACCTAGTACAGGGCAAGAGGGACAGGAGGGAGAGTTGGTCACCCAGCTCGGCTCAGGGCTCCTCCTTGTGCCGGGGGGGGGGGGCATCTGCACTCTAGGGGGCAAAGTGGGTAGCGTGTAAAAGGTAACAGGGGCATGGGGGGGTGCATCCCTTGCTCCCTAATCTCCTTCCTGCTCTCTTTGTCCCCTTCCCACCCACCCTCCACTTCACAGCCTCTCTGGTCTTCCCCAATCCCTGTTCTGGAATCTGAACAAGTGGGGTTTTAAAAGTCTGTGAAACACTTCACTCAATGAATTTGCATCTCCTCTACATCCCATCTGAGGTGGCAGGGGAATACACCTGCCTCATTTCGCTCTCCACGGCCCCCTTTGAGCCCTGACTTCCTACCTCCCCGGGGCAGGGTGGGAAGTGAAGGAGTTCTGCAGGCGGACAGGAAGGGAGAAATGGATGGAAAGGAAATGCCGCTGTCTTTGAGCTCTCCAAGCCCTCTGGGCAGCCCACCTCCAGCCCAGCTGCCTCCTGTCCTGTCAGGGAATTCTGGTAGGGGGTGACCTCACCGGCTCCTGCTGCCTCCAGCCTTCACCTTAGGAGCAAATTGGGGGGGGGGGCGGTGGGCTAAGTCGTCAGAGCACCTGGGTGTGGAGGTTTGGAATCAGCCAAAGGGGGTGTGGTTGGAGCTGAGGGGTCAAAAGCAGGGGCCCAGAGAGAAGGGCGGGTTAAGGTGGGGAGGGCAAGTGCACGGAAGGACAGCCCAGGAAGTGGCCTGAGAAGCAAGGAGGGGAAAGGGGCAGAAGTCCTAGCAGGGAGCTGGGCCTCTAACCCAGATGAAGCTGCAGAGAGCAAACAGTCCTGGCCCCTCAGGAAACGGCGGTTCAGTGCTGCCTTTGCTAGGAGGAGCTGCGTGACCTTGGCTAGGTCGCTTTTCTCCTTGAGCCACGGTTGCCTCATCTGTCAAGTGGGGTTGGAAAGACCCCCTCAGTCTGTCTTGCAGATGAGCATGTGGATGTGAACATCCTTTGAAAAGGTTGAAAGGCGCCATTAATATTCATTTTCGCGGTACCTTCCGCAAATCCGAGGCTGGCGATGCCCAGTGCAGTTGCCTGGCTTCAGTTAGCTTCCTGCAGCGAGACGCAAAGCCCCCTCCGCCAAGCCGCGCGGTTGCGGCGCCCCTGCCCCTCCCACCCCTCGCTCACGCTGGCGGCATCAGGGTCACCGGCCGGGGGGCTTGGGGTGGGAGAGACGCGGCTCACCGCGCCTGGAACCGGGGTCCTGGTCTGACCGGCGGGCGCCAGTTTCTGCTTCACCTCCGCCCCCGCCCCCGCCCCCCCCCCCCACCAGCGCCCCGGGATGCCGTCTGGAGCCCGGATGCCCCACCAGGGGGCGCCCATGGGCCCCCCGGGCTCCCCGTACATGGGCAGCCCCGCCGTGCGACCCGGCCTGGCCCCCGCGGGCATGGAGCCCGCCCGCAAGCGAGCAGCGCCCCCGCCCGGCCAGAGCCAGGCCCAGAGCCAGGGCCAGCCGGTGCCCACCGCCCCCGCGCGGAGCCGCAGGTGAGTGGGGCCCAGAGCGGACGGGGGGCGGGCCACGGGACCCCAGGGACGGGGTGGGTGAGGAGCGAGATTGGAAGGAGCGAGGAAGAAGGATCAGCAAGGAACGAGCCGTCCTGGGTGGGATGCCCTCTGGGGAGGTGGTCCGAGGGGGCACTGGTCAGGTTCCTTTGTGTGCCCACCGTAGAGACCGAAGCTGCAGCCGTCGCGCCCTTGTCCTTGTCACCTGCTCGGTCCTTCTCTCCCCCCTTGTCCCCAGGTTCTGGGAGACGCTTCAGCCTTTGGGGTGGGGGTGGGGCTGGCGGTAGGACCGAGGGCTGAGCTTTAGGGACTGTGTTTCTCCCAAGTGTGGCTGTCCAGTGCACCGCCCTCCGTACCCTGGCTTGACTGTTTAAAAGCCCCACTCCAGATATTCTCAATCTGACTCTCTGGCCAGGGGGGTGGAGCCTGGGGATTTGCCCTGTGGGTGGTCTCCTGCACAGTCCTGCTCTCAGGTGATTCCTAGGCACTCAGAGGTTGAAGAGCTGCCATAATCTATCCTCGGGACCAGGTCTGCCCCACAGCCACCAGGGACCAGCCCGTTTCCCCGTCTGAGCCAGCTGGTGGCACCCCAAAAGCCCCTGCTGGTGTCTGGCAAGAGAGATGCCCCTCTGGGTTTCACTATTTAACCAAACACACATGCTTCCCTTTGCACACCAGATGGAGTCCTATAAAAGGAGTAATATGGATTTTACCTCATTATTAAATATTTTTTACACATCAAGGAAAATTCACCATTTATAGGAATCCCATGATCAATTCTTTTGCAAAGTGAATCATCCTTTTATACAGTAAACAAGTTCCTGATTTGTATAAATGGAGAGTTTCACATAGGTAATTTCTTCAAAACAAATCAGACCTTTAATGAAAGGTGTTTACTGAGCCTTAGAATAGGCTTTTGGAAGGGAGGGGGCAGTGGTTATCACCACACAGGGATGGTACAGAGCCATCCTCCAGGCTGGGTTCTAATCTCAACTCGCCAAGGATCTTCTGGGGGTGCTTTTGGGAATCAGAAGCAGCTAGCGGGTCAAGAAGAGTCCAAGTCTCAGCTGCCACCCCAAATCCAGCCTGCAGTCACACCCCACAGGAGAACCCTCTCTCTGGATCCTTCTGGTTGTGTTTCTGGACCCTGTTGGCGGGTGATCCGAGGGCCTGTCAGCATCCCCTTCCAAGCCCAGGGTGCCAGGGGTGCAAGTCCTCACCGGCTTCACCCATCACCCCCTGCTCCAGGGATGGGAGAGGGTGTCCGACACGGCTCCCCTCCCTCTGAGCTCAGGCCACCTTGGGCTGTGCACCCCTGCTTAACAGAAAGGGAAAGTCCTCAGAATCCCTCCTCCCTCTCCTCTGTCCTCCCCCTCCCTAGCTTTTCTCAAACACTTTTGCAGCTTCCCCACCCCCCCAAGTCTAAATTTCTCTGGCCTGAGGATATGGTGGGGGTGGAAAGGGGCTCCCGGGCTAGAGAAAGGACCGGGGCCGCATCTGCTCCCCACGAGAGGACGTAGCGCCATGCCAGACACCACTGCCATAGCCCCTTGGGCGGGCAGACAAGCGGGCTGTGGGAACCCCAGCCAGGCGGGTGGAGATGTCGGGATAATTTAGCAGGTGGCCTCGTTACTCCCAGATCTGTCGCCATGGTAACCTGGTTTTTTCTTTAAAAAATGTACAGTGCCAAGAGGAGGAAGATGGCTGACAAAATCCTCCCTCAAAGGGTGAGTGCCTTTCACAGCAGCCCCCAGCCCACCCTCAACCCTTCGCTGCTCTGCCTCCTCTCCCCCCACCCCACCACCCGGGGCTGCTTCCCCTCCCCCCTTAGGAGCAGAGCTTCAGCGTCACAGCCACTTTCACTTTTTGTTTAAAAAGCTAATTAAGAAGTGGGGCTCCCCGGCCAGAGGGAGGGGGTGGGGCAGAGGGAAGGAGCGGAGCCGGAAGAGGTAGGGTACTGGGCCCCGGGTGCAGTGGACTGAGCTCCAGCAGTCCGCAGACATAAATACAGGTGTGGGACAAAGAGGGCACAAGAGCTAGGGGACCAAAGGCTGGCAGGGGGAGTGAAGGGAACTGAGGCTGGCCAGAAGGCCTGGATGTCGTAAGTGAACCCAGGCCAAGCTGGGCGTGGGGGGTGGTACAGCTGAGACGTCAGGTGGAGCGACGAGGTGGGGTGGCAGGGTAGAGGCAAGCAGCGACACCCTCTGTCTCAGGCACCCCAGGGTCCCAGGCACTTTGCAGACACCCCAGGAAGGTCCAGAGGCCACGTGACAAGGGCAAGGACAAGATGAGGAGGTGAAGCCCTAGTTGCTGGGCTCCGTGGCTGCTGCGGCTGCCCCTAGTGATGAAATGTTTCTCCGTCGAGGGAGAAGCAGCGTGTATCCCTACGTGTTGAGGTCCTTTCTGCTGGATACGCAGTCCTGGGGAGAAGTCCCCGTTGGCACTCCCAAAGTTGCGTGCCCAGAACCTGGCCAGCGCCCCTCTACACCCTTTGTACCCTGGGACCGTAAGACACGCACATTCCACCTACAACACTGGCTGAGCCCCTGGTTCCCCGTCTTGCTCCTTCTGTTCCAGATCCGGGAGCTGGTCCCCGAGTCCCAGGCTTATATGGACCTCCTGGCATTTGAGAGGAAACTGGATCAAACCATCATGCGGAAGCGGGTGGACATCCAGGAGGCTCTAAAGAGGCCAATGAAGGTGTCTTGATTTGGGGGCAGGAAGAGGGCTCTGGGTCCTGTTCCAAGGATGGAGGAGTAGGATTGCCCCGGGAGTGGGAGCACACAGCCTTGGCTCGGTACTACACTCTTTGTTTCTACAGCAAAAGCGGAAGCTGCGTCTTTATATCTCCAATACTTTTAACCCTGCGAAGCCCGATGCTGAAGATTCTGATGGCAGCATTGCCTCCTGGGAGCTGCGGGTGGAGGGGAAGCTCCTGGATGACGTACGTCCTGGCCCAGGTCTCTCCAGGTGTCCTGGGGCGGGTACGGGGCTGAGCTGAGGACAGAACGAGATGTTTGCACCATGGGTTAGGGAGTCAGGCCCAGCCAGGGGTGGGCGGCCTGAGGAGACAGTCCAGGTGCCGAGGCCTGCTTCTAGCCGCGCTGCCCTACCCGACCAGCCCCACCCACCCCCGACTCATCGTGCCCCCCCGGTCCCTGTCGTGCCCCCACGGTCCCTGTCCTGCCCCCACAGCCCAGCAAGCAGAAGCGGAAGTTCTCTTCCTTCTTCAAGAGTTTGGTCATTGAGCTGGACAAAGACCTTTATGGCCCCGACAACCACCTAGTTGAGGTAAGACCCAGACCTCTTCTGCCCCGGGGACAGCCACCCTTCCAGGGACCAGCGTCCCCTCAGCCGCGCGGATCTGGAGCAGGGACCACCCGAGCGCCCCTGGGCCCAGCAGCCCAGATGGGCCTGTGAGGTGACCCAGCTCTCCTCCCCGCTGGGCAGTGGCACCGGACACCCACCACCCAGGAGACGGACGGGTTCCAGGTGAAGAGGCCGGGGGACCTGAGTGTACGCTGCACACTGCTCCTCATGCTGGACTACCAGGTCCGTGCCCCTCCCCCCACACCCTTGCTCTTAGGGCAGGCCTCGGCTTCAAGGGAGCGCACCCCGAGGGACCCCATGCTCCTCCCAACCTCACCTTCTCCAGAAGCATGTTTCCCAGGAGCCCAGTCATCACGTCCCCCCCAGTCCCAAGCTGCCTGGCCCTGAGCTCTTCCCACTCCCTCGCTTTTATTTTCGCGGCCGTCTTTCCCCAGCCTCCCCAATTCAAACTGGACCCCCGCCTGGCTCGGCTGCTGGGATTGCACACACAGAGCCGCTCAGCCATCGTGCAGGCCCTCTGGCAGTATGTGAAGACCAACAGGCTGCAGGACTCGCATGACAAGGAATACATCAATGGGGACAAATACTTCCAGCAGGTACCCTCTCCCCTGATCTCAGGGATGTTGGGGGGCAGGCAGAGGTCCCAATAGGGGAGGTGCCTCGACTAACGACTAACGACTAACGGCAACACCCCCTCCCCCACGTCTAGATTCCTGGGTATCACAAACGGTAAGCAGGGTCCTAGTGCAGGCCCAACCGTGGCGTAGCTCCTCGCCCGCAGCCCATCCCCTTTAGCCAAGCCAGTTTAGAAAGATCTGGAACCTTAAAAGGCCAACAGTTTGGGGAACATAATATTCTTGGCACTTGAGAGTTAGGATCCCTGGGTTCTAGTCCTGGATCCAGACTCTACCAAAGTAGAGATTATTATTCGTAAAGCTGTTTAAATAAACACGGCAGATAAACCCGAGGAGTAAAATAGCGGTGGATGTTTATTGAGCACTTGTCGTGTGCCAGGCACTGTTGCAGGCAGTGTGGCCTCATCCACTTAGTTTTCCCAACCACCCTGGTAGTTACCGTCCCCACCCTGGACATGAAGAAACCGAGGCCTGAGAGCTCAGGGGACTGGCCCGAGGTTGTGGTGTCAATGGAAGAGGCAGGATTTGCCCCTCGGCGGCCACAGACCCAGGGCCGGTGCTTTCAACCACTGCACTGCACCAACCCACGCCCTTGTCCTCACTCCACCACCCACTGCCACCCTCGTCCCTGCCCCAGCAGCACTGGAGTTAGACTTGCTCTTGGCGTCTTGTGGCCATCCCAGAATGGAAGGATCTAGGACTGTAGTTGCACTCTTTTCAAGCAGATGAAATTGGTCTCTTTCTCTCCTGCTTCAGATTTTTGATTGCCCGCGGCTGAAGTTTTCTGAGATTCCCCAGCGCCTCACAGCTCTGCTATTGCCCCCTGACCCTATTGTCATCAACCACGTTATCAGGTGAGGCCCCAGCTTGCTCCTCAGACCGGGGAATCATTGCAGTCCTGCCCTCCCTCTTTCTCCCCTCCCCCCGCTTCCCCCCCCAGCCCCCACCACCGCATCTGCCCCTGGGACCCTCTGGCCTCTGTGGGAGCAGCGCGGATACCAAGGGCTGGACTTCCCTGGCAGCGTGGACCCGTCGGACCAGAAGAAGACGGCGTGCTACGATATTGACGTGGAGGTAGAGGAGCCACTGAAGGGACAGATGAGCAGCTTCCTCCTGTCCACGGCCAACCAGCAGGAGATCAGCGCTCTGGACAGTAAGGTGGGGCCAGAGCCCAGAGCTAGAGTGGGACATTAACCCCGAAATGACAAAATACAGACAAGAGACGAGAGCACAGGCCTATGGAGAGATGAAGGGGGCAGGTGGCCCTTCCCTTGCTACTTAGAGCTCTGCCCATCCCCCCTTCCCCAGGCCCGGACCCCAGGGATTGCCCTTCAAAGGAACAGCAGCAAACCCCTCCCCCCGCTGGCCCCTCTCCTCCTTCCCCTTCTCTCCCACATCACCATGGCCAGGTGAAAGCGTCTTTCTTTCTACCTGTAGATCCATGAGACGATTGAGTCCATAAACCAGCTCAAGATCCAGAGGGACTTCATGCTAAGCTTCTCCAGAGACCCCAAAGGCTACATCCAAGACCTGCTCCGCTCCCAGAGCCGGGACCTCAAGGTGAAGGGGACTCAGGGAGCACTGGATGGAAGAGAAGCATATTGGGAAGACAGTAAAGGTGGTTACACAAGGGCTGGAGGGGGTCCAGGCTCAGGGCTGACCCCGCTGCTCCCTCCCAGGTGATGACAGATGTGGCAGGCAACCCTGAGGAGGAGCGCCGGGCTGAGTTCTACCACCAGCCCTGGTCCCAGGAAGCCGTCAGCCGCTATTTCTACTGCAAGGTGTGGAGGGGCCCGGGTACCTCAGGCCTCCCCCCCCTCACTCCCAGAGAAGCCTCCCTTCCCAGCCCCGTCAGCGGCCCTTGCTGCTCCACCAACCCCCTCACCGCGGAGGAGCCCTCCCTGCCCCCAGATGCTCTTCCAGGGTGGCTGGGTGGTGGGGACTGGCCTGTCACTCACCAGCAACAGCGTAACCCTGCTACTGCTCTTATTTCCCTCAAGATCCAGCAGCGCAGGCAGGAGCTGGAGCAGTCGCTGGTTGTGCGCAACACCTAGGAGCCCCCGTGAATGAGCACCACTGTGGGCCTCCGCGCCCGGGGCCCTGGCCCCCCGGGGGCTCTGCCATCACTCCCCTGACACCTTCTGGGTGAGGCAGGGGAATGATTAAAGGTCATGCATCTGAGAGCAGCCTTGTGTGTCATTGGCAACTGGGGAGGAAGGACAAGGGGAAGGCGGTGGGTCCCTCTGGGAAGATTCCCCACCCCCTCCCTCAGAGTCTTCTCTTTACTCCATTTTCCCTAGACCTAAAAACAGTTTGGCAGAAGACACTTTTAATAACATTTTTCTTATTAAAAAAATACAGCCACAAGCTCTCCATCTGTCCATCCGTTTTGCCTTGCCCTTCCCGGGGCTGCGGCCGAGAGGGGAACTGCACGGAGGGGCAGGGCCCCGGGCCGTGCTAGGTGCTGTTGGCCTGCTCCGGCTCAAACAGCGCCACTGCGAGCTGGGCCCGGCCCCCCAGCCCCTCCAGGTTGCTGAGGCGGCAGCGGTGGTAGAGCTCCTCGCTGAGCCGTGGGCTACAGTCCCGCAGGGAGAACTTCTGCACCAGCCCTGGCTCCACGGCCCGGAAGAGGTGGAGCCCTGAGAACCGGAGGAAAACATCCATCACCTCCAGCCCCTCCAGGGCTTCCTCCTCTTCCTGGCCTGCCAGTTCACCAGCCAGCCGGGCTCGGGCCGCCAGGTAGTCGGCGTTGTAGAAGCAGCCCTCCGCGGAAGCCTGTCGGTCAAACCTGCCTCCCACGGGAGCCCCCCGGGCAGCGTCGGCCCCGGGAGGGGACGGGGGGTCAGGGCCGGCTCCCGGGGGCCCTGGGGGAGATCTCTGTGGTGCCAGGGCAGGGTTGAACTCCTGGAAATGCACTGGGAAGAAGGCCTGCCAGCCAGAGATGGCGTTCATTCGGCAGCGGTTGAGGACTTCGGGCCCGGGCCTGGTCCACACGGTGGTGAGGAAGAAGAGTGTGTCCACCGGGTGCTTCTTAGAGACCACGTCCATGAGCCGCACCTGCGAAGGGGCCTCTGCGCGCACCGCGAGCCAGGCCAGCCTGGTCCCCGGGTACCGTTGCTCTAACTCGGCCGCTGCCGCCTTCACCCCAAGGAATGGCTCTGGGGCCCCTCGGCCACCTTCCCGGGGTCCGTAGACCAGCAGCAGGGTGAGCAGCGCGTGCTCTCGTGGCTCCAGGACACCGGCCGCAAAGGCCTCCAGGAAAGCCAGGGCTGCGGCGGCTTCGGCCGCCAGGAGCGGCAGCACGAGCTGCACGCGGGTGGCCTCTGTGACATAGGGCATGGGCAGGATCTCCACCCGGCTCAGCGGCCGCAGCAGGCTGACCCTTCGTGCCAGGGCCCGCCGGTGCCCGCGCTGCGTCACGGCTTCCAGCAGGAGGTCCAGGGTGTACTCCATGCCCCGCGCCGGGTCGAAGCGCCGATAGCCGTTGAGCAGCCGCTGCTTCTGAAAGCGCAGGCGGGGCTGGTAGCGCCGATTTAGCTGCTCCAAAGCAGTCTCCACTGCGTCACCCACATCGGCCCTGCTGGCCCCCTGCAGTGGGCACTTGGGGGACCCGTCTGCACAGGAGAAGGTATGCTGCTCTGTGAAGTAGTCCCAGCCCAGCACCTCAAATCGAGAGTGTGGCGTGAAAGGGGCCGGGAGCCCGATGGGCCAGCTCAGCCCTGCCTCGCCCTCGGGGGTCAGCACGGTCAGGTTCTGGATCTGAGCCTAGGGTGGGAGGGACGCACAGTTAGTGCCCTCTCAGGAGTCAGGGACCGACCCGGCTCTAGCGTCCTGGGTTCTTAGCTCTGTCCTGACTCTGTCAACAGGTAGTGAGGTGCCCCCGGGCTACTCGTTCAATCCCCTTTCCATTCTTGTCTGTAAAATGCACAAAGCATATGAATCCTACACACCTTACACAGTTGCTCCGAGAAAGGAAGAGGTGGAAAATGTGCTTTGGCAGAGGTTAAAGCCCCGCAGCCTTTCTCTCCCACACCCACAGTACACCTTCTTCAGGACTGAACCTTTGCTTTCACCCGCATTCATTCCACCACTCACAACCACGACCCACTGGAGCGTTCTTCCACGTCTACCCTTGGGCTTTTTAAGGACGATGCTAGAAATCCAGGGACTTCGAGGCTTCTGCGTCTCCAGTGGAGGGGCACTAAAACAATCGTGTCTAAGCGCTGTACCGAGCCCTAATCCTCATAGTGCACCTGCAAACCCTTTTCACTCCATCCAGGTCGGGCCAGGACCTTCTCTTATGACTGACCCGGGTGCCCATGGGCCCCTTCTCCTTGGAGATGTTTATATTTAGGTATGGTCAGCCTCTTCCTACCTCACCAGCCTCCCCGCTCGCCCAGCTGCCCACTCACTGGGAGCTCCAACCGTGGACCCAGGCTCACCTGCAGTTGTTCTATCTCGCTGTACGCCCGCTCCAGCTCCAGAGCACTGAAGCGCTTATGGAGCCTGTACATGAGGGTTCCCTCGGAGACGGGATGCACTGCGAAGGCACTCAGGAAAGCCGAGCTCCCCTCCTTCTCAGGGTCCCTATTTTTGGCCAGTTCAAATGAACGATACTGCTGCCCCTAAAGGGACCAATCAGATCAATCAAAACCACACACGAGGGGCTGCCTGTCCCCACCACCCTTAACCAGACTCCGCATTCACCCCTGTTGCTGCCACAGAACAGGGGGAGAGCAGGAGCTCACTCCAGTGTCCCCTTAAGCTTGGCCTGACTTTCACCAGACTTGGGAAAAAAGAATGTGAAGTAGGCAATTAAGGATGCCCTCTTTGCCCAAAGAACCGCACTGTTTCAAGAGAATGAAAGCCATGAGCCAGAAAATGCTCCACTACTCTGGTTTACCTTACTTCTCCAGGACAGTGGCCATGTCTAGGACATTCCCAGATTGTTTATGACTGTGCATGTGTCAGGGGAGGGGGCAAAGGGCAGGGGGGCAGATGGGAGGAGCTGGTGAGTAGGGGTACCTTTCTATCTTGCCCAGAGGGCCCCTGACAAGATGCCACTTTTGACAGCCCGAGGGTTCTAAGCCAGGGTCAGTGGCTAGGAAGGACAAAACCCCAACGTGCTGCTGGGAAGGAGCCAGCAGCACCCACCCTGGAGACCAATCACTCAGTCACTACGAATTGTCGGGGACCGAGATGGACTTGAAAGGGCTGTCACCTGGTGCTGTGAGACACAGCCGATGCCCAGAGAGTCGATGAGGCAGCGGCCAAGCCACTCATCAGGACGGGCACTGAGAATGTCTCCTCGGCAGCCGTCCAGATGGGGCCGCAGTCGAAGCAGGAGACTCCGTGACAACAGGTAGCCAAAGCCCCCGTGGCAGTACCGGGCCTGCTCGCCTGCGCCAATGAACTCCTCGGCTCGGCCCAAGTACAGGTCTTGGTTGATGCTGAGGTGGCCAGCAAGGGCTGCCAGGCGGGGGGCCTGTACATACGTGTCATCCTGCATGATGAAGAACCAGTCGTAGTCGCCCCCAAAGTGTGTGTGGAGATGGCGCAGGGTCTCTGACATGAGCCAGGCTGGCCGTTCATCCCCGTGAGATACCACCTGCATTCCTGCAGGAGTCCGCGCCCCTCGCTGCCCAGTGAAGTACAGTAATCGAGGGAAGTGGTGGGCCACCGTGCGGTTGACAGCCACAGCCAGAGTGGGCAGGGTAGCCCTGGAGGTCAGGACAGCCACCAGCAACCGCTCCCGAGAGCCCAGCTCTGTCTGGATATACCGAGTCCTGTGGAGGGACCAACAGGCCAAGGGTCAACTCCTTAATCTTTAGGAGCCCAGTTTGCCCAGCATATACGTCGCTCCAGGGATGAAGAGAGGAGAGACCTCCTCATTGATATTAATGAGCTACTCCAGTGAGCATCCACTGACACTGGAATTCATTTGGGGAGGGTTCCACTAAGGATGGATTGGATGACTAGGTGGTTAGATGCAATTCCTGCCCTGTTTAAGAACATCCAACACAAATTTAACACCAATGGGCAAGACTTTCTTAAACCTGAGAAGGGAAAAATAGGAACAAACCATGATGGGTAATAAGGCAAAGAATTGTTCTAGGAGCCTAACACTGATTACCAGTGAAGGCAGAGGCAAGGCCTTAGAGCCGCGCAGAAGTGGGGTCCGGGGGCCATGTACGCACACAGCTCTCACCTGAGCACCTTCTTATAGGGCTTGTTGGGATCCCTGTAGTAAGGGACAATCCGGGGTTTGAAGTCTTCATCACTTTGGTCCAGTCCAGTTCTTGAGTCTGGATTATGTGGCACTCCTGGTTCCCCCACAGCTTCTACACATGGATCTTCTCCCTCACCCTGGATCCAGGAAACCCGCAAGAGGCTCAGGCTGCATCCCAGAGACAGCCCTAGGATGAGGGGCAGTGCTGGTCGCAGCAGAGCCAACAGGGAGCTCAGTCGCATGGTGGTAGGCCCTGCCATATGTATGCCCCAGAGGGCACGGCCTCAAGGATCAATCAATAGATTAGTGGGCTTTAGGCCAACAGCAGGCCTACGGTTTTAACCAGGAAACCTAGGGTCAGTGAAGTCAATGAAAGAGCAAGGTGTGTTTGCTTCCAGGCCCAGCATCCCCAGGAAGCGTATGGCCGGGCTTCAGTCCTCGAGGTGCCAGATTCCACCCTCAGTCTAAATGGCAACACATATTAGAGTCAATTTCACCCATTAATGGGATTATGGTCTGTCTTCCAGAAAGAGGAGGGAACAAAACTTAATCCTGCCAAATCTAACCCAAAATGAAGGGCTACACACACCTTTGGGGAAAAGCACATACTCCATCAAAATAACAGCCTCAACGACAAGAGCCTTCGTCAGTAGGCCTTTTTCAAAGAGCACCTGGCAGAGGGCACGTTTCTCACTCGATTCACTGAAGGGGCTGCCGACTAGCTATTGAAGGCCAGCAGGGGGGATGGGTTAAGGGCCTTTCTACTCTACTGCTGAGTGTTAAGGAAACACACAGCTACTAGAGTAACCCCTCCTCCCAGTCGAGAGTGGTCAGGAGCCTCTGCCATGGTGCACAGTTCTGCCCACCCACATGAGGTGGACAGAGACGGTGACGCAGCACTGAGAGCCTCTCAGAGGAGCACAATGGCTGATGGAACCATGCTGCAGGGCAA